AGGACGAGTTCCTCGCCGCACCTGTGGCTCCGCAGACGAGGCAGGCCAGCAGCGGCATCTCACGTTGCAGCTGGGCCTCGACCTGCGGCTCGATCTTCACAATCACGTGCGCCAGCGCTCCCTGTGCCCGCAGCCTCCTATTATGGTCCAGGGCGGACTTCACAATCGAGCCTGGGCACTCACTGGCGCGCTCCAGCCAACGGCACCTGCTGCACCATCTCGCCCCAGGCGGCCCACGGAGGTCGCAGCCTAGCCTCGCAGTCGCTGGCTGCAACGCTGCTCGCGGGGCCGCCTTGTTGGGCTTCGCCGCGCGGTGGGTGGTGTCGTCCCCACCCACGGCTGCCCCAACAGCTGAGACCCACATGGCCACGCCCTCGACCAGCTCCCGTGCCGACTGCAGGCGTTGTCGATCCTCGGGCGCAATCCTCGCGCGCTCGGCCGCGCACTTCGCTGCCTGGTCGGCGATGCAGTTGCCGATCCAGTCGCGAGCGGTGATGACGCCGTCGTCAGTCACTCGGCGTCGCGGGACATGCGCAGGGACCTTCTTGAGGGTCAGGCCATGCGGCCCTATCCCCCCGAAGTCCTCAACAAGCCGCCAGAGCTCGCGCCAGAGGTGGGCCCAAGCGTAGCCCCATCGCGTCGTGAGCAGCGGCCCGTGCTCCAGCACGCCCTTGAACACGAAGCCGGAGTCGACGATGGCCCTGACGGGCGGCACGGCATGGCGCAGCGTGCCGATGAGCGCGGCCAGCTCACCGCCGTTGATGTCGGCGAAGGGCTCCACCGCAGCCCAGCCGACGCTTGTGTACTGCTGGAAGTCGCCCTCGTAGGCGGAGCCGTCCAGGTACACGTCGCCCGACGGCAGCATGCCGCCTACGTCTTGGCCCAGCCAGCTGATCCCAGGAGGCCGAGGCGGCATGATGATGCAACGGGGCGCAGGCCAAAGCACGCGCTCCAGCAGGCACTCCACCTCCACGAGCTCAGCCTTGCCCGCCATCTCACGGATCTTGCTGGGCAGCCGCAGCTCGGGCGGCCATCCACTGCAGCACGTGTGCCTGTGCAGCAGCGTGCCAACGTCGCCGCACAGCAAGCACTTGTCGTCCGAGGCGTAGCCGCCCAGGTACTTGCGGCGCTGCGACCACTGGCCGTCCACGATGACCGAGGCGAGGTATCCTCTCTCCTTGGGCGCAAGACGGGTCGCCTTAGCCATCTGAGCAGGCCTCGCACCAGCGGCAGTGGGCGTGGTTCCCGTAGCTCCTCGAGGCGCGCCACTCGGGGGAGTAGCGTCATTGAGGGCAGCATCCGCCAGCCCACCCTGAGGAGCCGTCGACACACCTCGCCGTGAAGGCACGAGGCTTGGGCAGGCACCAATCCCAGCGTCGCCAGCAGGCAGCTCAGGCGCGAGCGGTGCTCCGCCTTCTGGGTCTGGCCGCGGCGGGGGGTCAGGCGCCACCTGGCCGAGCAGGTCGTTGATGAGGTCACCCCATCCGTCTCCAGCTTCAGCGCGCGCAGCTTGTAGAGTAGCGGCGCTAGCCTCCACCGCGGTCAGGTAGCCAGACCCGAGCACGCATGCCAGAGCTTGGCCTGAAAGGCCGCCCGCATCAGAGCCGGCCACAACACCATGCCGCGCGACACCGCCACGGGTTGTCTCCTCTCCCGACAGCAACGCCTCTAATCCAGGAGGCACAGCAGGTCGACCGACAGGCCGAGGAGCGGCGGCACCAGCGTCCCCGTCGACGTAGCTCACTTGTCGGCCGAAGAAGCCCTTGCGCTGCACCGCCCCCGCGTTGGTGAGCCTGACGATGGGCTCGAGGATGCCCCCATCAGCCAGATGGGCGAGCCCAGGCCGCTGCCCCACTTGTCGCCACTGCCACGCCTCCACCGCCATCCAGAGCAGGCGCTTGACGACCCAGGGCGAGGTCTCGAAGATGCATATGCTGTCGCCGCAGTGCGTGAGCCAGGTGCTGCCGTCAACAACCTGCCAGCCCACGCGCTCTAGGGAGAGCCTGACCGCGGAGAAGGGCCCCTTCACCTGGCACCAGCTAGTGGCCGCGCACTGGGCCAGGCCATACTGGGGCACATGCTTCGGCACCCAGCGCCCCCAGACCGCGCGCAGCATCGCCATCACTGGGGCCAGCGTCGCGCGGTAGACAGGGTCGAGGAAGGGCGTGAGCATGAGCGTGAGGGCCCGCGACCGCCCTGCCACGCTCGGCGCCACGGCCGTGAAGATAAGCGTGCGCAGCTTGTCGAGCTCCGTGGTGGCGCAGCCCGTGACGGAGAAGCCGTAGGAGACGGACGCCTCGAGCCCGCTGCGCGCCACCTTGCGGACAGCCAGCTTGCGCCTGACTCCAGTCTTCAGGGTGGCCACGCGCCTGAGCCTCAACCCCGCGAGCACCATCTTGTCGCCGCGGACTTTCCTCACAACCCTGCGGCCGCAAGAGAAGTCGACTCCAAGATTGCGCTCGCCCTTGACCGACACCATGCCGAGCGGCCGCTTGAGCTTCGCAGCGGCAGCGTGCCTGACGTCGGGCACGTTGGCGAGCACACGGGACTTGGAGAGCGCCGCGTTGAGGTCGACCTCCGTCAAGAGCGTCTTGAGCTTGAAGGCCGCTTCCGCCACCTCCTTCGTGACACGCACTGCGCCGCCGAACCTGTGCAGCATGAGGTCATCCACGACCACCGCCAGCTGCAACGTCGGGTGCTGCTCGACCAGCCTGTCCAGCGGCCCGATCAGCATCAGCTTGAGCAGGGTGGTGGCGAAGCCGTCTCCTGGCAGGATCGCCTGCCGAGCCTCGATCACGTCGGAGTGCGCGCTGCCCAGGGCGAGCACCCTCGGCGCGCAGTACAGCTCCACCTGAAGCTTGAGCTGCCACAACGGGAAGCCAGTGCGCACCGCGGCGTCCAGCAACCAGTGGTGCCTGACCTGCTCGAAGGCCTTCAGCAGGTCGAGCAGGACGGCCGCCGCCACCCAGCGCTTCTCGTCGCCGCAGTCCTGCCCCCGCTGCGTGGCCCACTCGCCAATGGCAGCCTGGTGCCAGACCGCCCGCTCGCAGCTGCGCCCCGCCGAGGCCCACCAGTAGCTGCGCGCATTCTGCATCCCCCATCCGCGTGCGATGTCACGACGCAGCCGAGCCTGCACACGGGCCAGCACCATGATCAGCGCGATCGGTCTGACCCCACCAAGCCTCTTCTGTATGAAGCAGATCTTGGCGGTCATCTCGGGCCAGGACGCGTAGAGCTCGATTGCCTCGATGGTGTCAGCGAGGACCTCGATTCCGTCGTCGCAGAGATCGCTGAGCTGCCTGGGCCGCGCCGCACAGAATGAGGTGCCCGTGTTGGCGGGGAAAGTCAAGAGCACCTTCCGCAGCTGCGCCACCGTCGGCCGAGGCGGCCGCGCGCCAAGGTCCTTCGGCCAGCGCAGCGACACCTGCTCGCATGCTGTCCTCCACCATCCGCCCCAGGCAACCTCCAGTGCAGTGACCTCCGCGGCGAGGTCGGCGGGCTCGCAGAAGGGCACGTGCGTCTCGCGTTGCTGGCGTGCAGCATGGGGCTCTCCGCGAAGCCGATCGGCAAGCTAGCCACCGCGTGGAGGCCGCCGCCACCGCCCACAGCTTGCTTGGCGACCCGCTGCTGGAACCTGGCCTTGCGCTCCGCCATGTCGCGCTCGGCCAGCTTCACGGCGGCGGTGTGGGCGCACTCGCTCAGCTGCAGGACCGTGGGGGTCGGGTCCAGGCAGTGAACGCCCAAGCTGTTGAGGAGCTGCCACCAAGCGCTCGCGACAGGCAGGTCGTGAGGCTCGGCCACCGCGACACCCTTCACGGCCTTGGGCGCGGTCACCATCAGCCTGCGCAGACCTCGAAGCGCACGGACACGGCTGACGGGCTGCGCGACGGCGGCGACCAGCTGCAGCTCGCACGACACCCTGTAGAGCCAGGTGGCCTCGACCGAGACGTTGGGCCAACGTGCGCCCACGACAGGCAGCTTGCGGACCCAGCGCGGCTGCGCTGGCTGACCCCGCCCACGATATTTCTGGCCGTTCTCACCCACCTGGTATATGTCGATCCAGTCGGTCTCGGCCTGCTCCAGGAAACGCTCCCAGGCAACGTTGATCTGGCCACGGATCTGCGTCCGCTCCACGTCAGCGCAGGCCGCCTGCGACACATGGCCATCAGCAGCAGTAGCCCCTGAACCTCGCTCACACTCCCCAGCTAGAGTGGCACGTTCTCCGCCTGCAGGTCGCTTTTGCAGGGGCCCACGAAGTCCAGAAGCACCACCGCGTACAGGTCCATGTGCGCTCGCACCACCGGCAGCGGGTGTAGGTCCCGTAGCTCCTCGAGGCGCGCCGTTCGGGGGAGCAGCGTCATTAAGGGCAGCATCCGCAAGCCCACCCTGAGGAGCCGTCGACACACCTTGCCGAGGCGCAGAGCGCAGGAGCCGCCGTACCTCCTCGCCGACGCTGGCCCACGGCACGCGGTAGTCCCAACACGCGCAGCCAGCAGGCCTCTCCTGCGGGAAGCGCCTGGGCACATCCATGACGCGGATGTATGGACTCTGGCGCGTCGCCTCGAGCTCCAGCACCACAGGCCGATGCGGCCATACAGGCGACCCGCTGATCACCTCCACGTTGAGCAGCCGCAGGCCGCTCGACACAATGAACGTGTCGATGGAGCGCATCGACTGCACGCAGGTGGGCTCGAGCGTGTCAACGCATGCGCCGTCGAAGAAGCGCAGGACTCCGCTCTTCTCCAGCTCGGCCTTGGTGCAGTTGAAGTCGCCGCCGATCACGCACGGCCTGCCGTACTGCTTCAGCCTGCACGCCACGTCGCGCAGCGCCTCGTAGTTGTATGCGTTCACCCCCACGCCGCTCTCCAAGTACACGTTCCCCAGTACGACTCCGCCAGGAGTCAGCCCAGCGTGGTGGAGCAGCTGTGCTCGCCCAGGACGAACGACAGGGGACTCGTAGCCCATCGTTGGCGCCAACCCATGCTCAAGGCGTGAGCACGTCAAAAGACCCCAGACGCCAGGCCCCCCGCCTGAGACGCCTGGGCCTCAGCACCCGCGGCACGCCATCCCCGACGACGAAGCTCCCCTTCAGCGTCCGTCGTGCGCGCCCCGCTGAGGCGGGTCTCCTGAAAGAGCAGCACGTTGCACCCGCTGATCTGCTCCGTGAGGCACTTGTCCAAGTTGCTGAAGGCGTTCATGTTGAGCGTCGCCAGCCGCCATCTGCTGCTACCCCAGCTTCTGCTTCTTGTCGGCACAGCAGCGGTCGCGGAACGCCTCGAGCCACTTCCGCTTGTCGGCGTCGCCGTCGCAGAAGGCCTCGACCTGCGCCGCGAAGGCCTCAGGGGACAGGTTAAGGCTCTCCATGTCTTCGTCGTCATCGCCAGCAGCCTGGTGCTCGCCTCCCAGAACTGCGTCATGAGCCGCTGCCCCAGGCTGAGCACCTGCCGCAGCAACGGCAGGGGAAGGCACAGCGGTGGCTGGCGGGGCGCCCGACGCCTCGCAAGCGGCCACATCCTGCTGGAGCGCGGCGAGGAGCGACTTGAGCGGGCCAGCCAGCTCGCCCAGCTCGACTCCGCCGAGGGCGCCCGAGACGGTGCCCACCAAGTCCCTGTACTTGGTGACGTCGGCGACGTAGCGGTCCTCTGCGCGCGGCAGTGCAGCAGCAGGCGGCTCGGCCATGGCCCGCCTGGCCTTCTCGACGAGCTCTTCCATCTCCACCTGCAGCTTGGCGACCAGCTTCTCCTGGTCGAAGGCCGCCTGCAGCGCAGCCTGTGCCGCCTGCTTCTTGCGCTCCAGCTCGCTGCGGGCCCGCAGAAGGCGCTTGGACGCCTCGTCAGCCGCAACCTGCGCACTCCTGACGGGCTTGACCGCCGACAGCGAGCCCAGCTGCTGCTGGAGGAGGAAGCGTTGCTGGCGGATGGCCTGCCAGTCTGCCTCCGCGATGAGCTCCTTGCAGGCGTCGGGCTGCTCGACGGGGCAGGCCACGAAGTAGGCGAGCCTCTCGTCGGTGAGCCGCTTCGGCTTGGGAGGCTGCACGCCCTTGCCGCCTCCAGCCGCCTGCTCTGCTTGGCGCCACGGAGCCTTGGGCGGTCCTTCGGCCCAGCGACCGAGACGAGGCCAGCCGCCATCACCACCAGCATCACGATGCCGAGGAGCAGCAGTGGAAGCCGGGCGGTACGCACAGCAGTCTGGCTGCCGACACTGCGTCCTCCACCCGAGGTTCTTGTAGCAGCACGAGGGGCAGCGCCAGCCAGAGCCCGCCTGGGATCCGCCAGGAGCGCCGCCGCCACCATCGCGCGGGTTGCCGCCGCGAGGAAGGGGCGCCATGCCGCCCACGCGCGTGCCGCTGCACAGACAATCACTTGAAAATCGCTTGGCCTCAAAGCGCGAACCCCCTCGCGCTCAGAAGCCGCCCCTTGGGACTCGCGGTCGTCGGGACGGTTCATAGCCTTGAGCCAAAATGGCTACGGAGAAGAGGGAGGAGGAGGAGGGGGAGGAGGAGGGGGAAGGGGGAGGGGGAGGGGGAGGAGGAGCAGCGGGCCGACGAGTGCTCAGGAGTCGGGGTTGAGGGGCCCTGTTGCCATGGGTGGTGCGGGACACTTGCGCGAGGTACACGTGCACGGAGCTGGCGATGGCCTCGAGCGGCGCGCGGAAGCAGGCGCGCGGGCAGCCGCGGGCTGCGGCGGCAGTGGGAGGGGGCCTCGTGGACGAGGGAGCGGGCGCGAAGGCCAAAGCCGGGCCGAGCCCAGCGCCTTCTGTTGTCCGTCGCTCTGCAGCGGGATCGGTGTGGCCCCGCCTCCGACGAGGGAGGAGGAGGAAGAGGAGGAGCAGGAGGAGGAGGAGGAGGAGGAAGCGGGAGGAGCAAGAAGAGGAGTAGGCAGGAGGAGGAGAAAGGGGGAGGAGGAGGAGGGGGACGACGAGGAGGCTCGGCCCACGGCCGTGCGCTTCGCCGCGTTTCGTCGCGGGCCGCTGCTCTGTGGCGGAGCGGCTCCTCAGGATGCCGCAGGCCTTGCCTGGCTGCGTCTCCCCTCGGCTTGGACAGGCTATTATTGAATCGCTTCGCTCATTCCGCCGGCCCGTGATATGGCATCGCTGGTTTTTGTCTGTGTGTTCGTTGCCCATGTTGCGCTCTTGGGGGCGGGTGTCGTTCGGACGCGTTGCGTGGGGAGTTTTGATGGTGAAGCAGTTCCCTGGGGGTCGTCTCTCGATGGGGCGAAATAGAGTCGTCGTCAAGATGCTTCTTTGGGGGGCCTCTTGGGGTCTGTTGAGAGGCCGTTCGGGGGCGCCTGGGAGACATGTTTGAAGCCTTCTGGGGCTTCTTTTGGGCCTCCTGGGAGTCTCCTGGGGCCTCTTGGCGACATCTTGGGGCCTCTTGGAGGCCTCTTGGGGCCTCTTTGGGACCTCCTGGGCGCCTTCTGGGACGGAGGGCTCCATTTTTGAGTTCTCGGTATCCCTCCTGAGTCCCTCTTGGGCCCGTCTTGGGGCCTCTTGGTCCGTCTTGGGCGGCACTTGGGCCGTCTTGAGGGCTCTCTTGGGTCGTTTCGGCGCCGTCTTGGGAGCTTCGTGGGCCGTCTTGGAGCGGTCTTGGGGGCCTCTTGGGCCGTCTTGGAGCGTCCGGAAGCCGAAAAAGCCAGAACACAAAAAACATCGAAAAAACCAATGAAAATCAACGATTTTGGCCTCTTGGGGCTCTCTTCGGAGGCCTCTTGGAAGGCTCTTGGGGCGTCTTGGAGGCCTCTTGGGCTGTCTTGGGGGCCTTTTGGGCCGTCTTGGGGTCATCTTCGGCGTCTTCGAGCGCTCTTTGGGCGTCTCGGGGGCCTCTTGGGCAGTCTTGGGGGCCTCTTGGGGCACTCTGAGCGCGCTCTGGGGAGCCTGAGAGGCCGCACCCAGAAGGAAAACCATCTCTGAGTAGACTTGGTCGGGCGGCGGTCGGGCGGCGGTCGGGCGGCGACCGGGCGTTGGTCGGGGTACTTTTCGCCGGGGGACCCCCAGGGGCCGCCCCGCGCGCGCGAACTAGAAATACTGTTAATACTGTTAACCAGTTACCGGAGATCTTAGCACGCCCTGGCCCGTTGGGCCGGCGAATTTGCTCATACACATGGTTCATTTCTAAGTATTCGAAAGTTCTTTGATTTTGGGGGACCAAGATCCTTTCATTTCTAATTGCTCTATCCTGGGCCTCTTCCTGGCCACTAGGGGGGCAGGAACAGTTTGAAACGAGCACAGTTAGAAATGAGCACGGTTTGAAATGAACGACGAGTACTTCTCTTCCCGCATCCTTGTCCCCGCCCCCTCGTCGGCATCAAGGTATTCCTCGTCGTCCTTGCGTTGCGGCCCCCTTGTTTTGTGTGCATTCGTTCCCTGCACCTCCTGGCAGGTAATGTCCCGCCCTGGTTGTCTGCTGGCACAGTTGCTGGCTATGGTCAAATTCGGATGATCGTCCATTTGCTGAAGTGATTCGAAGGAAGGGGATGCCATCGAAGAGTGTTTCGGGAAACCCAGGGAGCTTAGGTGAGCCGCAGAGGTGGGGGACCGCGTTCGCACACGTTCGCAAAAATATCCCGCGATGAGTGCGGAGCGTGTCTGACAGCCAATGTATCATATTTTCCCTGCGGGTCGCTCGTCCTCTGGTGATTTATCCGCACTGTTGTTCTGGCCACCCCTGAGTGTCGAGATGCGTGTCCTCTCGCGCGTGGCTTCGAAATGCTCTCGACTGCTAGAGGTGCCGCACCGTCGCGGCTGGGCTTCGCCCGGGGCGTTGGCCGGGATGGTGCCCAGGCGGGACCTGGCAGACAATTGCCCTCGGAGGCTCACGGGAGAGAGAGAGAGAGGGAGAGGGAGAGGGATTTGGGGCCCTGGAGCGATCGCGGCTTCGCTCCTTGGGTCGGACGAACGGGGGGGAGGAGGAAAGGAGGGGCTCGCGAATCAGCTCGGAGGGCAGGTACTGCTCCTGTGGCATCCCCGCCCCGATCCCCACAGGTGTGGACCCGTCGCCACGCGCAAAGGTGGTTGTCGAACGATCCATGCGGAGAGGTTCGTTCGCCGATCCATGCAGAAGGTCGTGCAAGTTTGTGGTTTCGTCTGCGCACCTCGGTAATGGCGCAGTGGCGCTGGTCGAGGTTGGGGGCGCGCGTGCGCGCGGCCAGCCCGGTATTGGCCTGACAGGGACGGTGCCCGCTCAGTGTGCGCGCGCGTGGCCAGCATGGGCAGATTTCGGGCAAATTTCGGGTTTGGGGGGCACCAGGTTTCACGTGTGTGTTCTTTTCACTGTTCCTCCTCCTTCTCCTCCTCCTCCTTCTCCTCCTCCTTCTCCTCCTCCTCCTCCTCCTCGTCCTTCTCCTCCTCCCAAGCCCCCCCCCACACACACACACACACACACACACACACACACACACACACACACACACACACACACACACACACACACACACACACACACACACACGCACGCGCAAGCTGTGACCTGCCATGGATGCGGCACAGGCAGAGAGAGAGAGAGAAAGAGAGAGAGAGAGAGAGAGCGAGAAAACAAAAAAAGGAGAGACAGCGCGCCTGTGCCCCAGGCCACATGCGGCGCTGTACGGCCCTGTACGGCCCTGGTCCGGCTTGAGGGAAAGGGCCATGTTGATCCGGATGCGGGTTGCAGCTTACGTCGAAGGCATAAAAGTCGGAGAGCACACACACACACACACCACGAACGATCGCAAAGCAGCGCAGCGCGGACCCCTGAGCACAGGATGAGCTGCTGCAGCGCCTGTCGCAGCTGGAGAGGAAGGTGCAGCAGCTACAGGAGGCCTCCGCGCGCGCGCTGGACGGGTGCTCGAGCGGGTTGCAGAGGGCGGTTGGGTCGCCGATCGCGAGCGCGGCTCGCCGCGATCGCGCGACCGGCTTGGCCAGGGAAGAGGAGGAGGAGGAGGAGGAGGAGGAGAAGGAGGAGGAGGAGGAGAAAGGAGGGAGGGAGGGAGGGAGGGAGGGAGGGAGGGAGGAGGAGGAGGAGGAGGAGGAGGAGGAGGAGGAGGAGGAGGACCAGGACGAGGGAAGGGGGGGAGGAATAAGAATAAGAAGAAGGCGAGGAAGTATATGAATAAGAAGAAGAAACAAGGCGGCGGACGGGGATGCAGGATTCCGCACTCGGAGTTCCACGTTGGGCCGCAAGAACCTCGCGGACACAATTTGGCGCGGTCTGAACGCGAGGGGTCTGGCGCAGAGGCGCACGCAGGGGTGAGGGGGGGGTGGGGGAATCAAGCCGATTGGCGATCGCAGAAGCAGGGGGAGGTGGGGAGGATAGGCCAGTCTTGAAGGAACCAGGGCCCTCTTCAGATCGCCCCGTAGGTGCACCACCTCCTCCTGCCTCATCATCCATCCATATCGTCCTCCCTGCGTCTACTCCCTCCTCGTCCGCCTCCCCTCCTCCCCCTCCTCCTCCTCCTCATCCTCCCCCTCCTCCTCCTCCTCCCCCTCCTCCTCATTCCATTCTTCTCCTGCTCCGCCTATTCGCTCCACGACTGGTATCACGCACTCCTCATCCCCCCTCTTACTCCTCCTCCTGCATCGCATCCGCCTCAGATGCCTCCTCGGAGCCGCTCGGAGGGACCCCTCCGCTCTTCAGAGGGGCCGCCCTTTGGCGCTCGCCTTGTGCTTCCTCGCCGCTGGCCAGGCCAACGCCAAACTCACCAAGGAGGTACGGCAGCGCCACCAGATCATGTGCAAGATGGTCGGCTTCATCAGGCAACCCACGGTAGGGATAAGAGAAAACATCGGGAGGGGGAGGAGGAGGAGGAGGAGGAGGAGGAGCAGGAGGAGGAGGAGGAGGAGGGAGAGACGGAGAAGGAGGGTGGAGGATGAGGAGGAGGAAGAGGACCGAGAGGGGGCAGGAGGAGAAAGCAGAGGACAAAGGAGGAGGGAGATCAGGACCAGCAGGAGAAGGAGGCGAACTGCCGAGGGTGAGGCGGCTCAGGGTGGTCGTTGTCGCCCCGCACTGGTTATATGGAAGACTTGTTAGTCTCCCCCCGCTTGCCACATTGGGCTCACACGGGTTCTAATGGAGATGTGTAAATTCCCCATTGTTTGCCTACGGTGTTCGCACAGGGAATACAGGAAATGTAAGGATTCCGCCTTGCCTGCCAGACGCGTGCCTAGCACAATTTCTACACGCGACATGGATTGATTCCCTTCCCTGCATGCCGCAGGGATTCCATGATGGTTCGAAAGGAGTTGTGCTTACCTCCCCCCCGCTTGCCAGATGGGCTCTCACAGGAGTTTCAACGAAGAGCTGTCCATACCCCCAATGCATGTCACCGGGGTTCGCGCAGGGGTTCTGAGGGAGGGTTGTTTGTATCCTCCTGAATGCCTCAGGTGTTCTCACGCGGGCCCCAAATGGATAGTTGTTTATTTCTCACATGATTGCCACTGGAGCTCGCGCAGAGATTCTAATGGAATTTCAAGCATGTCCGCCCTGCCTGCCAGATGGTATCTGAAGCAGGTTTTGCGCGAGGTGTGTTTGTTCCCTCCCTGCGGGGACCACACGGGTTCTACAGAACATGTGTGTATCGTATTTTGTTTGCCACATGGGATGGCGCAGATGTTCGAAGTGGCATATATTAGACCCCCTGCCAGGCACAAGGGTCCTCGCACGTTTCGCACGCCAGGCTCTGAGGGTTATACTATTCATTGTCCCGTCTATAGTGTCCAAGGGGAGTTTGATGTGTCTTCCCATGCCTACGAGGGTAGGCCACACACGGATTCTCAAAGACAGCTGTTGTTGTTAATCATCCCCCCGCAGTGCCACAAAGTGCATGACGCGAATTCTAACGGGGGTAGGTTTCTCCCCTCTCGCTGCCCCCGGGGGTCCCACCCAGGGGTGCCATGAACATGTTAAATCCCCGTGGTTGCTGCACTGGGCTCTGGGAGGGGTCGTGGTCTTGACCAGCTTTGGTTCCCAGCCAACCAATCAACAAGCCAAGCCAGCCAGTCAGCCCACTGATTAGCCAGCGGGCCAACCAGCCAGCCAGCCAGCCAACAAACCAGCCTCTCGAATCTGTGAGAGTGTCTCATACGGCGAGGCCCAGATCATGTCCTTTGAGAATGCCTCACTCGGCGGGGCCCCGGTAAAATTGCTCGACCAGGTGACAATTCGCAGCGTGGTGACCTTTTGGGGGGGGCGCGACCCCCCCCCTCGGAATCCACCTGAGAAGCGGTTTCGCGATTCCTCTTCTTCGCGCTGCGCGTGCGCGCTGTAGCGCCATCGAAAAACCCAGGTACACAGTTCAACTCTACATGACCCTGTTGTTCTCTTTCTCCCTCTCTGTATCCCTCTGTTTCTCTCTCTCTCTCTGTCTCTCTTTTTTTTTTTCTCTCTCTCTCTCTCTCTCTTTCTCTCTGGATGTAGGAAGCCGTTTCCAAAATGTGGTTATGGCCTTAGAGCCTCGCACATTCGTCGTCAAGTGTGTAGCACTGTTACGGATGGATAGGGGTCAACTTCAGAATGGTGTTCTCGCCCCAGCGCCGTGCACATTGGCTTGACAAAGTGCACTCGCTTCATGGACGATGGACAGTTCAGTTTCAAAGTGGGGTTCTCACCTTTGCGCCGCGAGCATTCGACTCCAAAATTTCCAACACTCACAAGGATTGAGCATCGACCGGTGTCAGAATGGGCCTCTTGAGCGCCGCTCGCCGTCGTTTTTTGCACAACGCTTGGCAGAGTGGGTGATTGTTTTTTGAATGGGGTTCTCACCTGAGGCTCTGTGAAGTTAAGTCTAAAGATCCGAAGCTTCAACGTACGCAGCGCTGCATGGATCGCTGGCGGCCCCTTTTCAACATTGAATTGTCGTTCGAAACTTCTCCGAAGCTCATGGCCACAAGTGTAAGTGTGCGCAACAGTTAGACATTGGTGGAGGGGGTGCGGTCCTCCTTTGAAAGGGGGACCTGGACACTATGTTGCAAGGCATGATGATTGCTTTTTCTCGCTCCCCTGATCACGCGCCGAAGAGATGAAAGGCAATTCTTTTTAAAAGCGGGGCCCTCGCCCCACAACTGTGGGGGCCATGGCGCACTCTAGAGGTGATTGTCCGTCTTTCCGTTGAGTTTTCCCGACTCAGTATAATCGGTGATGTGGGCGTGACCCGTGCTGGCGAAGCTCTGCAGATTCGTTCGTTCGTTCGTTCTCCCTCTCCTCCTGGGACCTGGGAGCTGATGGCAAAAGGATCCGTCGGATGCTGCCTTTACCACCCCAGAGGCCGTTGCCCCTGAGGGGTTGCGAACAATGTGATATATTTGTCCCCCCCTTCCCGGCGGCACAGGGCGCCGCCTCCCAGGCCTCGCAGGTCCCCGAACTCCTCGCTAGAAGTCCAGAAGACGCTGTACTTGCGGTGGAAGTAGGCGTGCTCTGGTGGTCGGTGGGTAGTGCCGACTCTGGTTGTAGTTGCCATGGTGGCAATGGGCCTCTTGGATTCGCACCTATCGCTGGGCCCCGGTGAAAAGCCCGTCTTCGAAGCCGTCGCGGTGGCCGCGGCCGTCGAGGGGGGGCGTCGGGGTGAGCGGGTGCGGGGGGAGCTCGTTTCAGAGCGTTGTAGCGTTGGCTGGGCGTCTTGGGAAGGGAGGGCGCCGTGGGGGAGAGGGGTCGCGGGGGGAGATGATCATCTCCATTAGACCTGCCGCCGCGTTTGCCGCCAAGCGGCAAGGAGTGGGTTCGACGCGTCGGAGTCGTTCGAGGTCGCGTCCTCGTCCTCCTCGGGACTCGTGGGGGGTGTCCGCGGCGCCGTCGCTGCGGTTGTCAGCGAAGCCGTCGCGGTGGGCGTCGTGGGGGTTGTCGTGGCGCCAGTCGTGGTGGCCGCGGCCGTCTTCGCGCCCGTCTCGGCGGTCACTGTCGCGGGGGTCGCCGCGGGCATCGTCTCCGGGGACCGTCGCGGGGGCCGCCCTCGTGAGGGTCGTCGCACAGAGGCCGTCGTGGGGGGGGGGCGTTTTGGGGGGCCGTCGCGGGGGGCCGTCTTTGGGGGTTGTGGCGGTAGCCGGGCGGGGGGTCGCGGGTGTCCGGTCGTCGGCCTAGCCGTCTGTGAGAGAAGCGCTGTCCGCGAAGCCGAGGCAGTCCCAGCAAGGGGTCCGTCGCGGGGCGTGAGTTGGGCGAGGCGTCGGGCAGGGGGCGGGGTTTGACATCGGTCTGGGCTTCGCAGGGGGGCGTCGGGGGAGGCGTCGGGGGGGGCGTCGGCAAGTCCGTGCGTCGGTCTGTCTTCGCGCACGTCTTGGCGGTCGCTGGCGTCGTCGTCGCAGAGAGGCGTGGCTTCGTCGCAGTCGAAGTCGTCGTCGCCTTCGGGGTGAAGCCGTTGCGGGAACCGTCGTGGGAGCAGCCCCGAGGGGGCCGTCGCAGGGTCCGTCGCGGGGGCCGTCGTCTGGACCGTCGGTGGGGTTGTCGCGGGGGCCGTCGCGCAGTGGCCGTCGTTGGGGGCCGTCGTTGTGGTGGTGGGTCGCGGGGGTTCTCGGGTTGGGTGGGGGGTCAGAGGGCCGTCGGGGGGGCGGGGGGGGGGCCAGAAAGTGTCAGCGGCTGTCCCTGTGGCCGTTTCCTTCTGTATGCCCCCAGCGGGCTCCCTTCTCAGGGCATGCGGCCGCTCGGGATCCCGCCGAGAGGCCAGCGGCGCAGGCTGCGGGCTGGCCGGCTCCTACGACCGCTTCCCCGGGTACACCCCCGGCGTGCTCCCTCTCGGGGCATGCGACCGCTCAGGGCGGGGCCGACGCGGTGGCCGTCAGGTGGGGGGCGTGGGGGCCGTCGTGACGGGGTCGTCGTGGGGGTCGTCGTGGGGGATGGGGGGGCCGTCGTGGCAGGCCGTCGTGGTGGTGGGTCGTGGGAGCCGTCGGGTCGGATGAGGGGTCCTGGGGTGGTGGGTCGCAGGAGTCGCGAGTAGAGGGTCGTCGCGGAGGCCGATGGGCGCGGGGTCGGGGGGCAAGGGGCCGTGGGGTCGGCGGTCTGGTCGTCCGTCCTGCGGGCCGTCCAGCTGTCCGTGAGGGAAGCACTGTGCGCGTGGCCGGCGTAGTCCCAGGAGGGAGTCGAGCGCAGGATGCGCGTCGGGCGCGGTGTCGGGTAAGGAGTGTGGAGGGGCGTCGGGGAAAGCGTCGGGAAGGTCTTCGGGAGGGGCGTCGGCTTGGCGGTCGGTCCGTCCTCGTGCCCGTCCCGGTGGTCGCTGGGGTCGGCGTCGCAGGGAAGGGGGGCTCTGTCGTGGTCGTAGTCGCCGTCGTGGCGGGCGTCGCGTCGTCTTCGTCGCCGTCGCGGCGGGGCCGGTGTGGGGGCCGTCGCGGGGGCAGCCGCGGGGGCTGTCGTTGGGCCCGCCGCGTGGACTGGCGTGGGAGCCGTCGCGGGGGCCGCGTCGGGGGGCAGTCGTGGGGGCCGCCGCGTGGCCGTCGTGGAGAGCCGTCTTGGTGGTGGGTCGTGGAGGCCTTTTGGGTTGGTCGGGGGGTCAGGTGCTCCAGGGGCCTGGCCAGCGGCCCCCATGGCCGCTTCCCCAGGCCTGCCATCCACGCTCTCCCTCTCAGGGCATGCGGCCACTCGGAGCGCGGTCGTCGTGGGACCATTGGGTGGAGGTCGCGGGGGCCGTCGGGCAGGGTGTCGTGGGGGTCGCGGCGTAGTAAGCCGAGAGGTGGCGCGCAGCCATGGTGGGGGGGCAAAAGGAGGCCCTGGCTGTCGCAGGGGGTGGCGCTGGCGTCGGTGGCCCAGGAGCCGGGCGGCCCGGCCATGGCGAAGACGTTGTGAGAAGGGTTGTGGTTGCCATGCTCTCAGCTCCCTTGTCCCACGCGCGGCTGATGAGGGCAATGTCGACGCCCTTGGTCGAGCCCCACCCCCGGGCGGCGTAACCAATTCGTTTAAAGGTCTTCCGCGCGGTCGCTGGGATCGTCTGGTGAGCTGTCTCCCGAAAACCAGGCTCCAAAGTGGGGCCCGAAAACTTCTCGTAGGCGGTCGGCTGGTTGGCGAAGACGGGGGGGCCAGCCTGGGCGGGGCTGGGCAAGGCGAGCCAGTGCTTCATCGCGGGCTCCGCGTCCGCCATGGCGCGGCAGACGCCACGCCTGGGTGTCGCCACGGGCGGCAGGGCGGACGTGCCCCAATCGCTCGGGCGCAGACGCCTTGAGCCAAAATGGCTCCGGATCTCCTCCTCCTCCGCCTCCTCCTCCTCCGCCTTCTCCTCCTCCTTCTCTTCCTCCTCCTCCTCCTCCTCCTCCTCCTCCTCCTCCTCTTCCTCCTCCTCCTCCTCCTCCTCCTGCTGCTTACTTCTCTTCCTCCTCATCATCATCATCATCAGCAGCAGCAGCATCATCATCAGCATCAGCATCAGCATCAGCATCATCATCATCGTTCCCCCCCTGCCCCTCTCCAGGTCACGTTCGGGGGGCGATCTCGAAGGAAAGACGGCCGAGGCGGGCCCGCGCGAGCCTGGTGCTGGCTCAAGGGGCGCACCAGTCCGGGTCACGTGCACGAGGTGCGCCAAGAGTGGGACCCACGCGCGAGGTGTTTGGCCGCCCGCGGCGGGCCGCGGGGAGGCATGCACAGTAACCTGCAGGCTCCACTGAAGGTCGGGCCGCGCCAGGGGGAGCCGCCACCCCAGGGGGGGTCGCCACCTCCTCCCGGAGACTTGTCTGCGCTCCGCCCCTGGGTCTCCGAGCGTGCCGGCCGCACCTCCCGGAAAGGCGAGGATCGAGGAGGGAGGGAGGGGGCACGTCGAGGATCGAGGTGGTTTGGGGCGTGTGCGGCGATCGAGGATCGTGGGCGCCCGAGGGGGTTCCGGTCGGGATCCAGGGGGCCCCCGTTGCCTGGAGGAGGTGGGCCGCCCCCTCAGAGGTGGCCCTCCTCGGCATTGCCTGGGAAGGGCTGGCCAGATGCTCGAAGCGAGGCGCAGCCCGAAGAGAAGGAGAGGATCCAAAGGATCTGCCGCGCGGAGTGGGCGCTGGAGAACGCGCTGCACAACCGAGTGCCAGAGGAGTACCCGAAGAACATCACGGAGGCCCGGAATCACCACCGCGAGTTGTTGCACTTGCAGAGGCCCCTCCAAATAACAAATGTTTATATATATACATAATATATATATATAGGAACAGCGAGAACAGTAGCAACAATGATAGTAATGTTTGCCAGCGTGGACCCCAAAAAGTGTGTCTCTAGCAATGTATGATGTGCAACCTGGGTAGGGCAGATTATGTGCAATTCAATACGTTGTGCAATTTATGCTGTGCGATCCACGTCTGCAATATACGTGGCGCAATCTTCAAGGTGCAAATGTTCACTCTCCGCGTATCTCTACCAGTCCGTAGCCCTGGCTCAAGCCGTCTCGGCTCGAGCACGCCCCTTCTCAGGTATGCGCCCGGGCCGCTGCTATGTCCGCCTTTGGTTCGGCCCTCTCTGGGGCCGCGCTGCGCCGGCGCCAGCGGCTGGTGGCGGCGCGGCGGGACGCCGCGCATGGGCTCGGCGGCCCTCCGCCGCCGCCGCCGCTGCCGCCGCCGCCGTCGGAGGCGGCTGGCTGGCTGGCGGTGGTTTCCGCCGCCGCCGCCGCCGCGGCGCCGCTGCCGCTGCCGGCTCCCCGGCGGCGGCGGCGGCGGCGGAGGGCATGGTGGCCGGCGCCGCCGCGGCCGCCCCCGGGGCCGCCGGCGGCACGGCCGCCGCCGCTGCTGCCGCCGCTGCCGTCGCCACCGTTGCTGCCGCCGCCGCCGGATCCCCTCCGGTGGCGGCAGCGGCCGGCGGCGCCGTGGCCGGCGTGGCGGCCGCTGTCGCGGCGGACGCTGCTGCCGCCGCCGCTGCCGGCTCCCCGCTGGCGTCGGCGGCGGCGGCGGGCTCGGTGGCCCGCGCCGCCGCGGCCGCCCCCGCGGCCGCCCGCGGCGAGGCCGCTGGCCGCCGCAGCCGCCCCCGCCGCCCCCCCGCGGCTGCTGCGGCCGCAGTGGCAGCAGCTGCAGCAGCCGCTGCAGCAGCAGCCACTGCTGCAGCCACTGCAGCAGCGGCAGCAGCTTCAGGAACGGCAGCAGCCGCTGCAGCTGCAACAGCAGCAGCCGCAGCAGCTGCAGCAACAGAAGCAGCACCTGCAGCCGCAGCCGCAGCAGCAGCAACAGCAGCAGCAGCAGCAGCCACAACAAGTGGACAGCTACAGCTGCAGCAGCTGCGGCAACAGAACCCAACAGCTGCAGCTGCAGCAGCAGCACCCACAGGCCCCCTGCGAACAGACGCCGCAGCAGGGCACCAGCCGCAGCAGCTACAGCAGCAGCAGCAGCAGCAGCAGCAGCAGCAGCAGCAACAGCACCCCGCAGCTGCAGCAGCAGCACCCCCCTCAGCAGCCACAGCAACTGCTGCAGCACCCACAACCACAGCCGCACCACCAGCAACAGGTGCTGCAGCAGCAGCAACAGCAGCCCCAACAGCAGCAGACCCACCCCGGGGACGAGAGACCCGCGAGACCTCAAAGAAACCTCTCTGACGACCAGAAGGAGGTACCCCTGCTCCCTGACAGCCTCCTGGGCACCTCTGGAAGCCAGCAGAACCACCGAGAAGACTCAGAGATACCCTTGCTCCCTCAGCAGCAGCAGCAGCAGCAGCAGCAGCAGCAGCAGCAGCAGCAGCAGCAGCAGCAGCAGGGCAGGGAAAAGGACAGGGAGGCCGCGGCGGAGTCGGCGGAGGCTGCGGAGGCCGCGGAGTATCGGGGGCCCGAAGCGGCGGAGGCCTCTGAAGGCGCGGAAGAGGCACAAGCCTTCATCCGCGTCTCTGGATTAGAACCGGGCGGGCAGGGGTTGGCCCCCGAAAGCGCAGACAGAAGCCGCTACAGTCAGCGAAGCGAGATTCTGGACCAGCAGGGGCTCGCCCGCCACACCGCGCCACCCCCACCTCCCCTTCAAAACAATCAGACCGCCAGCAGTCCTCTGGGAGCGCCGCAGACCCAGCAGGGGGGCCACGGACCAACCGTTCAGACGCAGGACAGCGAGGCCACCCGCTGGCTCGTCGGGAGAAACCCCTTCGCTCCTATTCGCCCCCTTTCCCCTGCCAGTGAACCCACTCATGGGCGGCGAACCCCGAGCGCCCCCTCCAGACGTCCAGGGCACGACTGACAAAGAATCTTTTGCTCTGGCAACGGAAACGGCGTCGCCGCACGCGCGCGCGCCCGGCGCAACCAGCGGCGCCCCCGGGACCGGCGAGAGCCCCGCGTTGACCGAAGGGGACGCACCCGGGAGCGACGGCGGGCACGGGCCCGAAGGCGAACGCCAGCGAAAGGGGCCTCTCCACGCACAGCACAGGGCAGCGTCCGCCCTGGCTGCCGGATGCGATCCGGCCCCCACCTGGCGGCCAATGAAAATGCGACCCGCCTCTCCCCGCAGAGCCCAGCCAGGCGCGCGGCCGGAACTGTCGCGAGCAGATTGCGAGCCCTTTGGCCAGGACAGCGAGGCCGTCTCGCCGGCGACTTGCGACCAGAATACGCGGCAGCGCCAATGGCCAGACCCGCGCCACTGGCCAGAGCCCTCGGACCCCGACGCGGGACAGCAGCTGTACAAAACAAAAATCGGCAGCACCCAGCGGGGCCTTCCCGGGGAGACACCCGGCGAGACGATAAGGCGGCTCTTAAGTCACCCTGGGAACAATGTTCACAGGCACCTGGCACGCTTTCGCCAAGCGGCAGACCGCGCCTGGCAGCAAAGGCGCGCTCGACCCGCTTCGGCGCGACCCGCAAACCTGCCACCTCTTCCTGGAATCCTTCCGCAGCCACAAGTGCGACGAACGGGTCGTCAGCGACGCGCCGGGCCTCGACGTCGACTGGACTCGGCTGCGGCGCCGGCGCCCGGGTCGAAGCGGCGGAGCGAGCAGGGGTCACCACGCGGCAAAGGGCCACCCGAACACCCAGGCACCCAGGAAAAGGTAAAAAACAATGGCGGGCCGTCTCCCAACAGTAGCCGTTGCTGCCCCACCTCGTGGCATCGCGCGCGCGGGGATCAGGTGCGAGGAGGGCGGTCACTGGCAGCAGGCCCGCCGCTGCCCAGCAACGCGCGGCCCGCGGCATTGGGGCCCAACGTGGTTTTTCACGGCAGAGGGATCCGAGCGCGCGTGAAGGGCTGACAATGGCAGCAAGCACTGTTCCCGCTCGGCGGGTGCGCCACCTATCCCACGGGCGCGGCGCCTACCGAGGGGGGGGGCGGCCCCCCCCGCCTCTCTCCTTGGGGGCCAGGCGGGCGTCGCAGCGCGTGTGGCGGAGGCGGAAAGTGGCACCCTCAGTGCTCTTTCATCTACTGAACCATGCGGCGATTAGCCGCGACCCTTGAGGCCCCCCCCCGCTGTCTGGTCACACTGCAGTTTCACATCAGCTGCGGTTTGCTGCGACCCTGGAGGGCCATCATAGGAGACACCAACCATCAAATAGAGATCACAGCGGCGATTAGCTGCGACCCCCGAGGATTGGAACACAAACATCAGCGACGGTCTGCTGCGACCCCGGGGGGCCACCGAGCGACCCTGGATGCACGCGGGGGCTAGCGCGCTCTTTGCATCCCAGCTCTGGCAGCCAAGGGCCGTCACTCGCCACCCCCCGCGCACGCTTCGGCTCACGGAGCCCACTGTCATCAGTTGCAGCGCTGAGAGCAGGTGCGTGAAGGGTGGACATTGGCAGCAGCTCCTTCCCGCCCAGCAAAATGCGGCAGGTGGCATTGGGGCCCAACGTGATCTGTGACTGCAGTGGGATCTGAGTGTGTGTCCCGCGGGTACTCCTGGGGCTTGCATCGCGGTGCTGTCCTCCCTGGGGTGTCCGCCGTCCGGGCTCGGATCCGCCTCAGGGCCCAGGTACTCTTGCATCCCGGTGCTGTCAGTTCAGCGGAGGCGGAGGCACCATCTAATACATTGAGATCCACATGCTCCGGCGCATTGCCGGGATGTGGGGAGCTAAGTTGGCGCCCACTGTCGTCAGTTGCAGCGCGGGAATCAGGCGCGAGAAGGGTGGACACTGTCAGCAGCCCCTGTCGCTGCCCGGCAAATGCAGCAGGCTGCATCGGGGCCCAACTTGACCTGTTACAGCGTGAAGAGCGGTCAGTGGCAGCAGGCACGGTCCTTGCTCGGCGGGCGCGCCACCTATCCCACGAGCGCTGGGGCTGGCCGAGGGGGGGCGCGGCTGCCCCCCCGCCTCTCTCCTTGGGCCTTGCGGGTGTCGCAACGCATTTGGCAGAGGCTGGATGTGGCAGTGCACGCTGCTCTTGCACTGGGGACGGCGGCATGCCTCCGCGGCCTTGCCTGGGCTCCTCTCTGTCAATGGCGGCTCGAGCGGCGATCAGCTGCGACCCCCGAGGACCACCACCACCCCTCGCCGTCTCGTCACACTGCCGTTCCACAGCAGCTGCGGTTTGCTGCGGCCCTGGAGGGCCATCAATCGGACACACCTAACATCAAATAGAGATGAGCGGCGATTAGCTGCGACCCCCGAGTAACAGAAAGGGACCAACAATAGGACACACCAACCATCAAATAGAGATCTCAGCGGCGATTAGCTGCGACCCCCGAGGAGATTAAAGAGAGATCACAGCGGCGATTAGCTGCGACCCCCGAGAATGACCCAAGCGATGACCATGGCCCCTAGCCCTCGGATGCGGAGCCAGGCCGAGAAGTGAGGCGGTGCTTCCCCTCGCCTCTCCCCTCTCGGGCCTGGCGGGCGCCCCCCGCCCTCGGCCTCGGGGCCTGCCTGACTTGCTATCAGACGTCGGGGTGGTTGCCCCCCCTCCCAGGGCCGCCCGTGTTCCGCGCTTCTCGTGGTCTGGCTCATCCCTCTCAGCGGCGTTTGCTTCGGCCCTGGAGGACCGCGCGGCGCGCGTGGGGTCGCGATTCTGGGGGGCAGCGCCAAGCGGCGGACTCGGCCAGACTTGCCCCCTGGCCCCCGCGTCCTCCACAGCGCAGCTCCCCCGGGCGCTTCGCCCTATGACACCGCAGATGGCAGCACTACCACCGGCGCCGCCCCCCCCCCCCCCCCACCCTCCTCGCTGGCGACGCTCACCGCGCCTGCGCCCCCCCCACCCCCCACCCACCTCACTGAG